TTCACGCACGCATTTATTTCTGAGTTAGTGTCGAACATATGTACAAGAAGGCGGGTAATCTCTTCATTTATGACTGAGTGAATACCACCTAAATCAATACTAGCTTCGGTCATTGTAAATGTTAAATTATTATTCATCAGACTTGGTCCGTGCATTTCATGCATTAATGTATAGTAAAAATTCAGTGAAATATATATCGCCGAAATGTCCAGAGACAAAGGTTATAAAGGTATCGCATGTATAAATTCCGACGTCACACGTTTTCATTGCCCGTGATCAAGGCATGTGAGTAGTTAATCGAAAGCCCGTAAATCACAAGATAACGATAAGTTCATGAATTTTCGGGTATAATAAGAGGATTAGTCATTTTGTAATTATATATACAATATAGCACTTAATATTTCGATTAGGAAACTCGAGGTTCGGAACAAATGTTTGTATGCAATTTATAGTTTGAAAGGTAGGTAAAAAAATGAATAAGTTTTTTTTTAATTTTAGATTTCGCAAATAATTGTTTTTATTCAACCCGGTAATCGAAAATTTTACGTCCATTTTCGGAACTCTCATACTAGCTTACGATAATTAATTAACCTGACTTAGTACGAGATGTAAAGAACCAATGCTATTTACCACTGACGGCAACCAACCCTTAACAGATTGTAATCACTAGCGTTTTGGGTAAATAATTAACAAGGCAATTATTACTCATTGCGCGATACATCAATCAAATTATTAATCAATAAATCAATCGCAACCAAAATTGTGTACAATACATCTGATATTTTCTTGATTGCGCTATAATTGTAACACATGAACTATATAACCGGGACATCTTAATAATGATAAACCAGCAAGTAGTCCAACAGTAGAAGCGTGATCCGTCTCATTTTGTTGGTCAGATTGGTCTCAAGTCAATTTATTGATTCGAGTGCGATTGCAAGATTATATTCAAGTAAACCGATTTTCATGGAGTTAACATTAAGCATCGTTAATGCATGGAATGCACTTTCTCCGAAAGATAATGTTTGTGCCTCGGTGGCGTAGTTGGCATCACGCACCGAAAGCTCTAAAATTAACTTTGTATCGAATAAAGTACGCTCAACAGTAAATTTTTCATCGAATGTGATAAATACATCATTGATTTTTTCGTCACATGG